ATTTAGACGTGTATTCTAACATTTATAAATACACAAAAATGATATGTATTGTGAATAAAGCTAAATTTTGATCAAACATAAATATATTTTATCTTTGTTATTTTTCATTTCTAACATCTATTAAAAATAATCATGAATTTTTTTTTTTAAATATTTTAATACCGCTTTTGACTCGGATAAAAAAATCTAGTATTATTGAAAAGAAAATAAGATATTTTCAAATATTTTCTATATTCCTTAAATAAAATTCTCTATATTAATTACCACATATTCGTTATTCCCATATATTTGTTATTAAGAATTTTTAATAATTTTTATTAGAAAATGAATTCCTTAAAACCCTCTTAGGATGACACTTAGGATTTTCACCTAGTGTCTCCTCTATTAATATATAGAGGATTTTTGTTCTCAATTTCTGTAGCAGGTTTATTATATGATAATGCATTCCAAAACACTTGGAAATTGGGCTATTACCGTCCGCCGCCAAACCCACTTAAGAACCAACTGCAGTGCTGTGTTGGCAAAGTCCTCAAGCATTCCCTCTGAATAATAGATCTTACAAAGATTCATCCTGATCTTTTTGTTTTTCCACCATGCCTTCTGCTTGGCAGTATCAGGATCTACACTTCGAGAAAAGAACCATAGTTAGGAATCTTCATATTAAACCTGTCAATTTGCCATATATGAAAGTAATAGACCACAGGGACCAAATATTAGGTTGAAATGCACGCGCTCAGACAATATGGCCAGAGAAGAGATAGTGAATATAAATTTCCAACTGACCTGGCTTTTCCGGAGGAGAAAGCACTAATACAGCTTCATCTCGTTTGCCATCTTCCAGGAGAAGTGTAGCCAGAGTTATGCGAGCATCAACTGGATCACTGATTTCATTCAGAGCTGAGGGCAATTTTAGTCAGCAACAAACGGAATGGAAGCTAATGCGAAATCAAAAAGGAAACAGACAATAACATTTTCAATCCGCAATACATAGAAAATCATAAAAAATAATTTGAGGTTTGAGACCATCTCTAAACATCCCATGCAATAAGTTATGGGCAGAATATCGTGAAATTGTATCAACCCTCTATTCTTGACAAGTGAGGGCTAGAGATAGAACACTTATATTTAAGAGCTCTTTCATTCTAGAAAATATATATACGCAGCAAGTGAACAACTAAATGAATTATGAAAGTACCTTTATAATAGAAAATAATGGCCTGTTCTCGTTCTGCCAGTGACATATAACAGCGAGCAATTTTCACAAACAAATAGCCATTCTACAAGGAAAACCACAAAACTAGTTAACCAAGGGATGAAGCCAAAGTTGTAAGAGAAGAAACAATGGAGCAGAGCTGAAGATCTCCTTACATTTACAGGTTCACTGATTGCTGCTAAATAGTATTTGAGAGCAGAGTGAAAATTCCCAATGTTTGTTAGCTCATCAGCCAAAATGGTAATGAGCTCTGGATGTTCAGATACAGCCTCCTGTGGTAGAATACTTAACACAATCTGCAGATCAGGGAAGCAACATCATTCACAAGAATAGGTTCATCAACATCTGGGTCATTAAAAGCAGAAGAGATGGGTTCCAGGCAACCCAAAAATTTGGGGAAAATGAGATGACATATAAATCTATTACATGAGTTAGAAGAGGGATAGCTTTAAAGCAACCATTGGGATTAAAAGATTTAACAGTTTTGTAGTAGATATACAAACCTCTGCCTGCTCCATTTCTTCAAGGTGAACATGACAGATGGCTTGTCTGATTTTTAAGCTGGACGACAGTTCTTTTCCAAGACTGTAAATCTGGCGCACGTCTTGAATATACTGAAGAGCTCTATCATACGCCTTAATTTGCATGAAAACAGAAGCCAGTAAATCCAAGACATCGGGCCCCACTTCAGAGGAATGGGATTTGATATGATCTTCTAAGATGCTTGCTGCTCGTTCACCCTCACCTGATTTTAGGAAATACTGTAAAGACCAAAAAAATAAAATAAGTTCACAAATGACATCATTTGTTTCTTTCTTGGGTAGACATCACAGAGATTAGCAATGAGAAGAAATTTCTAGTCATTCAGCTTATACCTCTATCCCCCACTTGAGTGCTTCAATTCTCTCAGGACACCGACGGAATATTTGCTCAAAGGTTTCAGCAGCATCTTTATATTTTTTAGCATTTAGGCAGAGGTCTGCATATTCATACTTCAAAGGGATATCATCTGGGTCAGCTTGTATTGCTTTGGACGCATAACTCCTTGCTGATGACATGTCCTCTTGTTCCCTGAAATTAAGTACTTTTTGTTACTGAGCTTGTCACAATCAAGAACAAATTCTAAACCGAAAATTACAATTTGCGTTTGCCATTTCTACTGTACAAGATGATGCAAATGAAGACTGGCATGAACAGAGAGAGCTTACTTGAACCTCTCATAAAGCAACTTCCAAAAAGGTGATTTTGGACCTTTGATACTTGCAGCAATTTTTAATGCCTCCGTAGACGATGATTCAGTTCTACCAAGTTGCTC